TCTGTGACGGTAGAGTAGAATTACTGAGTACTTGCGATTCCAAAGAATATACCAGATTTTCAGCTTGTGTTGTTGCTTTAGTTTTTTCCCAAATTGTGAAGTCTTTCTGCATGGAGGGTGTGAATTTTTTTCTTCATTAAATTTATTTATTCGGATGAGTGCGAACCATTGAAAATTACATCAAGAGCTTAAGCGTCATAAGGGAATACTTATGAACACATGAAAGGGTTTTCTTTTTTCCCCCTCCTTCCTTAGAGAGGTTTTTTCCCCTCATAATAACTGGTACTTCTCAAGAAGCTAGTCCACTGAGAGGTCTTTATTTTTGATAGAATATCTTCTCATGCTTTATTTTTATGTAAGTGTGCATTTCCGTTTCTGGCTCATTCTTTTTTCCTGATTTGCCTTTATTTGTGCTTGCAGGAGCACACTGTCCTGCTCATCACAAGACTGCTTTCACCTGCAGTTCCTACAGATTTTTCTGGAAGTGAGAGCCATTTGATAGGTTACGCTCCATTGCTGAACGTTCTCCTAGTCGGAATATCATCTGTCGATTGTATTCAGATTTTTTCCTTACATGGCATGGTAGGTCTGGCTTGAGCTATTTTTGCTTAATCTGAATATTTTAATTTCATATTAAGAATCAGTGAAGTTTAGAATGACAAAAACAACTTCGAATTTGTAGATTTCCTTTTCTAGAATCTGCACAAGGATATTGGAGAGACTATCTTCAAAAGAATCCTGAAACGTGTATGATAATTGTGTTTTAGTAACTAGATGACCAAAGTAGTAATCTAACAAGTGCAATTTCATTTGAATACCTAAAGCATGCCTCTTTTCATACGTACACAAATTTGCAGTAACTGAACATGGTTTTTGCATGGCAATTTAACAATTAACATTTATATAAGAGTTGAAAATCGATATGAGAACAATACTGGAGAGAGGGAAGGTAAAAAGTAAATTAAAACACATTCCCCAGATTCGTGGAAAACTCTTTTGGATATTTTTTTTTATTGTGATTATGTTCAACTTTCCTCAGGTTCCACAACTTGCAGGTTCATTGATGCCAATCTGTGAGGTCTTTGGTTCCTGTGCACCCACCATGTCGTGGACTCTTGCAACAGGGGAGGAAATTTCTTCCCATGCTGTATTTTCTAATGCATTCACTCTGCTGTTGAAGTTGTGGAGGTTTGATCAACCACCTCTGGAAAATGTATCAGGAGATGTCCCTCCAGTTGGATCGCATATAACTCCAGAATACCTCTTATTGGCGCGCAACTCCCAGTTAGCATCTTATGAGAATCCACTAAAATTTCAAAATAAAATCAAAAGACTGTCAAGACTTTCAAATCCATCATCGAGAGAGCCAATATTCATGGATTCTTTTCCAAAGTTAAAGTGTTGGTACAGGCAGCATCAAGAATGCATTGCTTCTATCCTTTCTGGTCTGGTACCTGGATCCTCTGTTCACCATATTGTTGAGGCACTCCTGAGTATGATGTTCAGAAAAATAAATAGGGGAGGTCAACCGCTGACTCCTACAACTTCTGCAAGTAGCTCCTCTTCTGTGTCTGGAGCTGACGATTCCTGTCTACGTCTTAAATTACCGGCTTGGGATATTCTTGAAGCTGTTCCCTTTGTGCTTGATGCTTCCCTTACTGCCTGTGCCCATGGGAGATTGTCACCCCGTGAACTGACTACTGGTTAGTAACCATGTATACTATTAAGTGGTTACCATCTCATGCTTAGATGAACACTTGTGCTGTTGTATTAAGAAGGTGTGCTCTTCAGAACCGTTTCAGATGTGCCATGAGAGAGAAAAACAGAGAGCCTTTATTTTGTATACATGATAAGGCTTGTATAGCAATTTTATTTGGCTTTTTTTTTTTTTTGCCCCTACTTTCCTTTCATAAACATGGAAATGTAGTTTAAGAACTGAACTACCACTTTTAACATCTAACCGATTAGCACGTTTGAATTTTATGATGCTAAACTTTAGAGATGATTGCATAGATAAGCTGCTATTTATCTTTTCCTTTTTATTTGGCTTTTTTTTTTTTTTCCCTACTTTCCTTTCATAAACATGGAAATGTAGTTTAAGAACTGAACTACCACTTTTAACATCTAACCGATTAGCACGTTTGAATTTTATGATGCTAAACTTTAGAGATGATTGCATAGATAAGCAATCATATTTAGATTTCCACGTGTACAACTCCTTGTTAAATACAAGAAAAGTAAAAGAAGAAACTCTTCTTTGAACCTGCCTTTATGATATATTCTAGTTTTAGAAAGTGAATGTCTTATCATTTGAAATTTGTCTCATCTCATCTAAGTATTGCTCATTTGTCAGCATTTGGTCTTTTTATTTGTTTATATATAAGTGGCATTTTCATTGGTTTAATTACCTCATTGAATTTCTAGGCGAATTGCTTTCTGTTTGCGATTTTGATGAAACAATGCTCTGCTGTATCTATCTCAGGTCTCAAAGATCTTGCTGATTTTCTTCCTGCTTCCTTGGCAACTATTATAAGTTACTTATCAGCAGAAGTGACTCGGGGACTTTGGAAGCCAGCTTTCATGAATGGAACTGACTGGCCGAGTCCTGCTGCAAATTTATCCATGGTTGAACAACAGATAAACAAAATCTTAGCTGCCACTGGTGTTGATGTCCCATGTCTTGCTCTAGGTACGAGTTGATTCTGTTTGCATATGTTTAATTGGTCATTTTGCCTTTAGATGTGTTGCTGTATTGCATGGTTGTCTGTCGTTTGGAGTTGACAGCTATTATTGTTCTGTATAACTTTGTAGATGAAAATTAAGTTATTGCATGATTATTCCATCTGAAGAAGTAGATCATACTTCAGAGAACGGAAATTCTTGAGTCTATATAGATGGAGGAATAATCCCTTTTTTTCCTAAATCTATGGTACAAATAATGCTGCAAATTTGTTCTACTTGTAGGCGTAAATTCTCCAGTGACTCTTCCATTACCCCTGGCGGCCCTTGTTAGCCTCACAATAACCTTTAAACTTGACAGAGCTTCTGACCGTTTTCTAAACTTGGTCGGTCCAGCCTTGACTAACCTTGGCACAGGTTGCCCCTGGCCATGCATGTCAATAATAGCTGCCTTATGGGTTCAAAAGGCAAAGCGATGGAGTGACTTCCTTGTCTTCTCTGCATCGCGAACTGTGTTCCACCACAACACTGATGCCGTGGTTCAACTCCTCAGAGTATGTTTTTCAACAGCGCTTGGCCTCAATTCTTCTGTTGCGAGCAATGGTGGTGTAGGTGCCCTTTTGGGTCATGGCTTTGGCTCTCACTTCGAGGGAGGCATTTCTGCAGTCGCCCCTGGAATACTCTATTTACGAGTTCATCGAGCTGTTAGAAATGTCATGTTTATGACAGAAGAAATTTTATCTCTTCTGCTGCATACTGTCAAAGATATTGCAACTAGTGGGTTGCCTACGGAGAAATTGGAGAAACTGAAGAAAACTAAATTCAGTTCAAAATATGGTCAGGTTTCTCTTGCTTCTGCAATGACTCAGGTGAAGGTTGCAGCTTCAGTGGGGGCTTCTTTGGTTTGGATGACTGGTGGATTGGGCTTGGTTCAATCTTTAATTAAAGAAACACTACCATCACGGTTTATATCAGTTCATGGGTCGGAGCCCAATGGGGAGGATTCAGGAGATGTTGTTGCAGTGCTTGGTGGCTACGCACTCGCATACTTCGCCGTCTTTTCCGGAATATTCGCCTGGGGAGTTGACTTGAGACCACCTGCGTCTAAACGTCGGCCTAAAGTTCTCGGGAAGCACTTTGAATTCCTAGCAAGTGCCCTAGAAGGAAAAATATCGCTCGGTTGTAACAAGGCTACATGGAAGGCATATGTCACGGGGTTTGTGAGCTTGATGGTGGCATGCACGCCGATGTGGATGTTGGAGGTGGATGTACAAATTTTGAAGAGTGTTAGTAAAGGGTTAAAACAGTGGAATGAGGAAGAACTTGCACTTGCCCTCCTTGGAATTAGTGGGATCAATGCAATGGGTGCAGCTGCTGAAATGGTTATAGAAACTGAATTTTGAATTTTGTTAGGTAATTTGCTAAAATTTAGTTTATTTACAAGGTTTCTACCTCACAATTTTAGTGAACTTGTTTAATTAATGTTAGTGTAGAGGTATGGAATATAGTCATGTATAGTTGGAAGTTTTGGTAATATAATTTAACCATATGTACATATGATTCTCTAGGGATTGGGGCAGACTTTTTGTTGGAGAATGTGTGATTAAAAATGAAGGAAAAATTTTTGAGTTGCTTATAATATTATTTTATTGAAAAATATGTGATTGAAAAGAAGAGAAACAAAAATGTATTTTAAAAAAAATTGGGATCAAACAAGGGGAATAATATTCTTTCTTTTTAGTCATGTCAAGATTGATTAAATAATATTGAACTTACGCTTAGCCCCTTTTTGAACTTCATTATTTTTAACGACACATTCTCTCAATTTTATTTTTAACCACATATTCTCTCAATAAAATAAATTTATGAGTATATTCAAATTTTTTCTTATTTTTTAGTCACACATTCTTTAAAAAAATACTATTACAAAATTTATTCTTCCAAAAAATAAGGATCAAACAAACCCTTAAATTAGAAGAATTTTTAGAGAAAATTAATAAAAAAATAATAATCTTTTTAAGAATCTCTTCTATTAGAAATTGAGCATAAATAGAATCCTTATCAAACGAGTCCTCAGTCTCTGTGCTCTCTCTTTTCTACTATAGTTATTGTAATTGTTCAACTTGGTTTTGCCCTCAAATTAATAAAGTGGCTATGTTTTGCTTTGTACTGATTATTAAAGGTCAAGGTTGATCCTCTCCGTTAAATTCATCAATGACCACCCAACTTTATATTTAAGGTTCGTTTGATTGCAATAGTGAAATTTAGATGGAAAGAAAATAAATTTCAGGGAATTGAATTACCTAGAATTGTTTTTTTGGAAATTATCAATTAATTGTGTTTGATTAGTATAATTTTTCACGTGGAAAATATTCAAATTTTGGATCTTTTGGTGTTCGTTTGACTTTATTTTACATGCAAATTGTCCATTGAAGTGATATAATTTATTTCAATAGCAAAAAAAAAGTAGCCTAGGAAACCAAATCCCACCAAATTGGTGGGAATTAATTTTTTTCAAAACCGTTGAATTGGAACCGTGTGAGGCAAAAAGATGAAGAAAGAATTGCCAAGAAAATTTTCACAATCAAACATGATTTTTGGTGGAAGATGAAATTTTATTTCCAAGTTTCATGGAAAATAAATCATTTCAAACAGGGCTTTAGTGTCACCATAGCCATTTGATTTTATTTCATCATAACCACTTAATTTCATATAACGTTTCAACATGATCACCTAATTTCATATAACATTCCATTCTAGCCATCCGATTTCTTTTCACCATTTTCACTATATATATAATACAATGTTATCGTTTTACTCATTTTAAAATTAGTGAAAATTGTGAAAAGAAATTGGATGGCTAGAATGGAATGTTATATGAAATTAGGTGATCATGTTGAAACGTTATATGAAATTAAGTGGTTATGATGAAATAAAATCAAATGGCTATGGTGACACTAAAGCCCTGTTTGAAATGATTTATTTTCCATGAAACTTGGAAATAAAATTTCATCTTCCACCAAAAATCATGTTTGATTGTGAAAATTTTCTTGGCAATTCTTTCTTCATCTTTTTGCCTCACACGGTTCCAATTCAACGGTTTTGAAAAAAATTAATTCCCACCAATTTGGTGGGATTTGGTTTCCTAGGCTACTTTTTTTTTGCTATTGAAATAAATTATATCACTTCAATGGACAATTTGCATGTAAAATAAAGTCAAACGAACACCAAAAGATCCAAAATTTGAATATTTTCCACGTGAAAAATTATACTAATCAAACACAATTAATTGATAATTTCCAAAAAAACAATTCTAGGTAATTCAATTCCCTGAAATTTATTTTCTTTCCATCTAAATTTCACTATTGCAATCAAACGNTATATATATATTATGTAAAGTTATTGTTTTACCTCTTTTAAAATAAATGAAAATTGTGAAAAGAAGTTGGGCGGTTATAATGAAATGTTGTATGAAATTAAGTGGTCATAGTAAAACGTTTTTTGAAATTGGATAATCACGATGAAATAAAATCAAATTGTGTAGCCATAATGACGCTAAATATAAAGTTGGATAGTCATGATGAAACAAAATTAAATTGAGTGGTCACAGTGATACCAAGTATTAAATTGTATGATTTAACCCCTTTAAAAGTTTCTTCCATATATCAATATTTTTTTATCTCTTCATCGTCCTTTTCTCAATTATTGATAAAAAACTCCACCTCATGTGTTTGATTTATCAAAGAAAAAAAATTATGTTATGCAATGACTGTCAAAACTAACTAAGATCGAATTGGGGACAATCTAATTTTTTGATTGTAATAATAATAAAATAATTCCCATAAATGACAAGCAAATGAAAAGTTATCAATTTATCATAGCATCTGGGGTTTAAGAAGCCTCTGCATAATACCTCAAGAAAGAAAAATGGAGGCAAAAATATTGCAGGTAAGATGGGCAGCTGTGCCGTTACAGCTCTCACCACCTACTCCTTCAACGCTACCAAGAAATCCCACAGCTTTTCCAAACCCTCCTCAGCTCAAGACCAAGATTCCACTAGGCGCAGGTTAGTCTGTATAATCTCTCGCATTTTTTATGGGATTTTTTTTTATTTAATCTGTTGTTTTTTTCCCCAAAAGAATGAAAAGAATCAATTTTCTCCTCATTTTTTTTTTTTTTTTTGGTTTTTGGTGTTATTTAGCAGTTCCGCATAGAAGCAAGAAGATAGAAGAGCAAGACTTGTATGGGCTCCCAAAAGAATATTATGATGATGTATGTACATGTTATTGCTTACATTACTGCCTCATCCTCGCAATTCTGTTAGTTTTTCTACTTTACTAGCTATTGCTAAGTTGCTAACCTTTATGTCAGGGTAGGAATGGCAAGCCAAGCAGAGAGAAAAGACGAAGGAACTGCACAGGAGGCGGCAAGAAGAGGACGAAGAAGAGGAAAGAAAGGTTGACGAGTATCGTGAACTTGGCTCGCGGCTGAAAGATTATCCAGAAGAAGAGCTTCGAAAAGCCAAGAAATTGGTTTCAAGTTTTATTAAATCAGCTGAGGAAGTGGAGGAGGTAATCATTCTTTATAGCATTGAACTTGCTCATCCTGGATTTTCTGTCGTTTTTTATATTTGTAAATGGAACACTTTGGTACATTTATGTGTGAATTGGGATTTATTATTGTATGTTCTTCTTTTTTAAGGCATAATTTTTTCCTCTGTTTCTAACTTTTTAGTTTTGCCATTACCCACCCATTAAAAAATTAAGAATGAAATGAAATGCTAGCTATAACAATATTGATAATAACTCAATGAGATTGATTTCCGTTGTTTACCTGTCTTGACTACAGAAAATTGAGGAAGCTGCTGAGAAAGGCGAACTTAATGAACTTGTTCTGTTGATCATATGGAATCGCCTTGATCTTGCTCGACGAGATGTGAGTTTCGTGTTTAGTGTTTCTCAAGTTCTATATGTACCTTAAGTGATTGATGCTACTGTTGTTTCATGTACAATGGCATGGCTGGTTTGTAAGTTGCACAGAACGAAGAAAACTAATGTTGAGAAATTCACTTTGGCTGTCTCCATGAAGCACCACAGCTGCATTAATTTGTCTAAGAACAAATATTGTCCAAATATTTTGAATTACCAAAAAACAAATGACTAACTGTTCAGATATTCAGAAAGATAAATTGCACCATCTTCTATTTGCATAATAGGTAGTACTCTCTTCAACCAACCTTTAGTATTGAGTTGGAGATCCTATGGTTGAACATTTCTTTGTTGTTATGAGCACGGCACATTTCTGAGGTAGCAATGACCATATCTTTTTAGGTCTGACTTCGATAAAAAATTGATTAATGTTATGCTTGCCAATGATAACTACAGATTTATACCGCGTTGTGTGTGCATGTGTCCCCTAGTAGGCAGATGGAGTCATTCTTAGGATCACCTTTTCTGGATTACCATGTGTATATGATATTCTTAAGTTTTTGTTTCACTTTTTTCAGGATGAAAAGGATGCAGTTCGAAGTCTTGATCTCCTGTACAGGCGTGTTGAGGTATGCGCCATTTATGAAGTTTCATCAGTTAATTTTTATTCATGGTGGTTTATTGGGAGATGGAAATGTCGTATTTTAAGACCTCAATTTACATTTTTACGTCGCAAGAAGTCTGTAATGGACTTTTGAATGACGTACTTCACTGGAGTAGTCTTCTGTCATCATCTCTATTCTTTTGCCTTTTTGCTGTCTTTCTCTGTCGTCTAACTATTGTTGTTGCCTAGAACAATTGTTTATGTGAGTTGGATATTTGTAAGTTTAAAGAAAAGAGAAACCTTTATTGGGTCTAAAGTAAACAAAGAGTCCCAAATGAAATATAGATTCCACTGCAGAAGAAAGATCATTTCTAACAGCCTGAAATCGAAATATAACTTCCGATTTGAACCGAAGAAAATATCTTGCATTTTTTTGCTTTTATAACAATAGTTGCATTTCGCAAACAAACTCATGCTAAGTGCTGAAAAATTCCATTTTTCTCTACATTGACAGCCTTTTCGTTTGAAGTTACCTACTTAGTGAAGTTTGTTATTGTACTGAAAATGAATCATCCTTGTACAGACAGAGATTTTGAAAAGGGAGGCTACTCCAGCCATGAGATTGCTTAATGATCTCTTGAATTTGCACGATGGATTTGATGATGATGGATGGCTCAAGGCGTGTAAGAAGCGTATGATCGACACTTTTCCACGAGAGGATCCTTTTAGTATTCTCGTACCAGCTGGATTTGACATTGACAAGGTATAATCTCAGACATGGATGTCAACATCAATTGAATTCATTTTATGGGGAAATTTGCATCATCAGTGTTCTATTTTTCCATTTTCCCAAGATGAGTAACTTAATTTTCTAATCTTTTAGCATCAAGGTCCAATGAGACCAGTCCTCGAGGCTGACGATGTTCTTTTGAGGGCCGAGTTTGTACGGGAAGTCGACGCATTGCTGCGAGAGGTTCGGTCAGAACAAAGCGAAGCACAAAATATGCAAGGTCTTGACCCTGAACTTGTGGCTAGTAGGCTAAAGCAACAGGAGAAGCAACGAGCCATTCACCAAGTAGAAGCTATGTTAGATTTGGCAATTAATTTGAATTGGTAGTTTGTTTTCTTGTCAACTGGTAATATAAAGTTTTATTTCTCATAAATTCATTATAGTCTAATTCTGGATCTTCACTGGCAACTCAATATCTATATATAAGAGTTATCTATTGGATCGGTACTCCTTACCGACTTAAAACAAACCAGAATTGCCATTTGAAATCTAACACAATTCGTTCTTTCTTTTTCTTCCATCTGGGTAGAATCAGAAGTTGACAAAGAAACATTGCATTTTCCCTGCAGTAATCAGATGAACTGGATGGTAAGCCTATGCAGAATTGATCGCACTTATTCACCATATTAACTCAAAAAATATGAGAACAGATACAACTTTCTTCAAGTGCCCTGAATTATATACAGGAACTGATACTATGAAGAAATAAATATGATAAGTGCTGCAAGAAAAGTTGGAAACGAAACTCCCTTCAATAATGCCAATAGGCTTTAGATTTAGACATCAAATGGTTCGTACAACATGGATGAGAAGTCAGTATACTTCATCTAGTAGTTTTATACCTTCTGTGATTCTGAGGTTACGAATAAATACAACCAAACAATGAGTTCCTGCTTTTGCAAAAATTTCCATCTGTAGATAAATATGATCGAACAATATCTCCCAGAAATCGATATTCTGATCACAAAGAATGAACATCGTTGCGTACCATTGTGGACAAAGTACAAGAGGATTACTCGGTTATTCAAACGCCACCATCAGGAGAGCCAATAGAACCAGTTTTACTACCTTTGCAGGAATTTCTCTTGGTAGAGACAAGTGGGTTATTCTCCTCCTCGTCGATTACTGGTGGCCTCTCAAACTCGATGTCTTTGAAGACAGGATGTACGTAAGCATCCTGGAGGTACGTTTTCAAGTTTAGGTTTGGCTCTGTAGCCCTTCCTAGAGTGTCTTTCACCATCGCATCCTGTTTGGTCACCAAAATGAAATTACTTTATTCAGCATCACCATCATATTCTTGGTTTTATGCAGGCTACCTGTTGAATATTGTCTAATGATCATTATAACATAATAATACTCATTATTAAGTCAATTATTATATGCAGTTCAAATTCATTAGCTTATCTCCACCTATAAATTTCAAAAAAAAATTCTCAAAAAAAATTGTTAAATACAGGTAGACTGTGTGAAGCTTACATAAAATGCTGAGAGAAGTTTTAGAAGAGAGCATTACAGAAATAAAATATCACACTAACCTGCAGTGGAAATTTCATGAACGCAGACTCAAAGCGCCCCTTGCAAACTCGATGAAACCAGATGGTCAAGACAGGAAGTATGAGTATCAATGGTGTTGCTTTGGGAGCATCTCTGGTGGTCAATAATCCCATCAGTAGAATTTGTGATATTATTAAACCAATAATTACACGACGATGAACATCTGGCCAATATTTTGCCCCACTCTCGTACTTTTGGTCATACACATTGATGATCTAGTCATAAGAACCAATTGCAAAATCGGATTACTTTTTGACGAACGACTATCAATAACACTGTACATAGTGCCATGTGAATTTTTTCAAGAGAGTTAATAGAAAAAGGTCTCATGCCATAATACAATCATAGACACTTCTAGTTATTTAAAGCATATAAATTAATTCAGGGAAGCATGTATGAGAACGGATAACACAAACACACAGGCAACCTTCTAATTTTCTGTTGATTCACAAGGACACAAGAGCACTAGGCAACAAAACGCATTGATTCGAGAAAGAATACCGGGAGCTGAAGAAGACTTTGGAAAACTCAAAAAGTTCGTTCGATAATCAACGAGTTCAAATTTCCAGTATTCAGTGTGAGTCAACTAGTTCTTGATGCTTATTTCCTGGTAGTCATGAGTGGATCAATAGGAACTAGAAGGTTGTATATGATTTCCATATTTTGAAAGCACTTATACATCAATAATAATTCCCAGGTTACCATACCTGATGGCGGAAAATCATAAATGAAAAGGCAAAGAAGACGATTATGAAAGGCAAAAGAATAGGTGTGACAGGCGCGTAGACAAGTCCCAGCAGGAAATATAGCTGTATACGAGGTTCAGATACAGAAAAATTAATTGAACCAGGATCCATTGCCTGCTTCCTATCCTGTTCTGTTTTTACCAAGAATGTATTCTTGAGGTGGAACATGATTAATGGAACCAGTCTAAGGATCTCTGCTGCAATGCCAGCCCAACCGTCAACCATAATATAAGTAATAAAGAAAGTGGCTTTCATGGGAATGGCAACACCCACAGTTTTAGGAATCCTGCAAGATAGCATAATATCAAGAATATTATTGTCCCATTAGAGAAATGCTTTTATGTTTCTTCTTACAATGAAAGTTGCATTGGAAAGAGGAAAAAAATGCACGTTTAGATTAAGCAAATGAGGGTCCACTCCTTTGACAGGAAATGAAATCTCAAGAACTGCAGATTTTCCAGGAATTCTCAAGAATTTGAACCAGTAGTTGTAAGAATTCAAAAGTATTTTGCTTTCTGGATAACAAAAAGTTTAAAATCAAGATATTTCATAAGTGCTTATAAGTTAATTATAATCACTATGAAATTTAAGAATCCAATGATGTTAATCAAACCAAACAAATTTCTTATAATACCAACTAAAGCCCGAGACTCCCCTCAAGGATTTCACACTGGTGGGAGTTGGCCACATAGTCATGCTCTCAATTTCGCATATCTTACAATTCCAGAGTGCTTCTAAATTCTTGCCTAAGTTACAGCAAATCCATGGATGATAAATTACAAAATTAACATAAATGTAACATGAAATGTACATTGAGAGAAAAAAAAAAGGGATAAATGGCTACTGAAAAGGAATAAAGAATCTTCTTCACATACGTGGGTAGGATATGACTGAGAACATTTTCAGGGAATATTAAACCTCCGCACAACCGACAGTACAAGATTACTATTCAACGTTGTGGCTAGTGGAGAAAGATTTTATAAGAACCCAAAAGAACCATCGTGACATAAAATGGTGTGTCCATTTTGAGTTTAAAGAGCTTTATATGAACCAAAAAGAACTATCATGAAGCCTATCTATTTAATTTTAAAGATGTCAACTTGACATTGAAAGGTGTTAAGTTAACAAAAAATGGTTGGGGGGGGCCGCAAGTTGATTAGTAAGCTTAGACTGTAATTATTTTGTGGGGATATTTGTCAAGGATATTAAATAAGATTACAGAGATCGTCAAAGATTGCGATTATATTTACTTTCCTTTTAGTGNACCACACATTCCATTGACACATAAGTACTATCCACTTATCCACCACTTATTTTTATCTATTTATAAATTCTTCCAAAATGGAGACATATATTTGATTTCTCTTTGTTTTAAATATATCCCCACAGGCAGCTAATGACTGTGATCTTGAACCAGTTGCTTATGAATTTTTCACGCAAGCTTCTGTACAGTACGAGGAAGAAGTTGCGGTACTTATTAAATATAATCAGTTTATTCAGTTACTATATCTTATACAAGTTTTTTCTTAGAACTGGAATGGGGCTATGTTCTAAACTTCAATGTTTATGTTAAAATTCTGTATTCTTAGGATTCTAAAGCCCAGGTGACTGCTATACACCTAATAATCGGGACTCTGCAGAGGATGAATGTCTTTTGCGTCGAAAATAGAGATACCTTGACTCATAAAGCTACAGGGGTATATCAATGTTCTTTGTATCTTTCTTCATAAAGACAGTTTACCCTTCATCCCAGCCTGATTGTTCTTTTCTGTTTAGTATTCAGCAAAACTTTTAAAGAAGCCTGATCAGTGCAGAGCAGTTTATGCCTGTTCACATCTCTTCTGGGTTGATGATCAGGATGGCATCAAAGATGGAGAAAGGTTAGCTATGTGAAAATAATCATTGGCATTATCTCCAGACATACATGTTTAGGAAATTGATTAAAACTCTTTTTAAGTTATATTATTAGCTTCGCAGACATTGTAAAATGAGTTGTTCAATTGAGATGTATTGGATAATGGTTCATTCGGTTAAATATAGCAATATAATATGGAATATTTTTCATTATAATATTGTTTTTTAGTGTAGGATTACTTTCCTTAATAGTTGATTGTTTAATCTTTATTTTTTTTTATTTCCTTTTACAGTTATTTGTAATTCTATAAATAGGGTCTTCTACATTGTAATATTAACAAGACAATATAATACAATTTATATTTCTTGACAATATTAACATTAAACAATCAACAATTATTAGTAAGCCTGTTAGATGCAAAAGATAACCTACTCTGATGGGGCCTGATTAGCAAATTTATGAAGTTGCTGAAATGCTGCTCCTGTGATGATGCTTCCGAAAAAGACATTGACAACTATGAACAAATGATACTTTGAAGCAGATCTTCTGTCCAGATACGAAAGCGATATAGAACCTTCTATCTTGGACATCGTCATCAGAATAGTAGGGAGAAGAATCAGAAATATCTTCAGTGCAATGCCAGGAAGAAAACCTTGAATGATAGACTTGATGCCTTTCCTGAGGCAGAAAATTTTCAGCATTTCAGAACATTATGGTCTCATGTATAAAAAAAGAAGGAATAGCTTCAAAGATGTTAGCTTACGCTTCTATTAATGGCTTCAGGAATGGAAGAACTTTTCCAATGCCATCTATGCTTGCTATGGACTGTACAATTGCAATGGGGATCATGAAAAAGAACGTGAGAAAGAATAGAGCAACAGTCATTAACAATCTTCGGACATTGAGTTCAACAAATGGTATTGCAAGGTTGTCCCAATATACATCACGCGGTTCAGGAGCCCATTCCGTTAGCCAAAGGGTAGGATTACTAGTTTGTTGAGTTTGAGCACAAACTGCTGCTCCCCATCGGGATTTAAAAGAAACAAATGCTGCAGGCATAATGGACTTGGGATCACTCATGACCCTTTCCCTTTCTGCAGCTTCCTGTACCCAAATTTTTTTTTTTTTTTGAAAAAAACTAAGAAAGTAAATCAACGTTGCATACCAGAGAAGCCTAAGGCATGATAAGTATCTCAAGAAAAGAAAATTTAGAGCATATTAATTTGAAATGATGTATTGAGCTTTTACTAGAAAGTCATCGAACACGGGAACATTTCATTGACAAATAAATGATCCAGGACTAGTTTTGGTTAGGAAATTAGAAACCCCTAGTACTTATACGAATGATAAATAAGGCAGGTATATAAGTAAGTTTATGCATTCCGGGAACATATTTCAAGTACATCTATGGAAATTAGAAATCCCCAAGTATTATCCAATTTTTTATGTAATTTGAGGAGAGAGTGAGCCAAGTCTAATTTAGACCTTAGGAGGCTTACCTCTTCACTTGTCTTCTCAATTTCTTCTGAATAGTAATTGATGGCATCCACAGTTTTTCCCCAAAGGCCCCAGAAACCTGTCTATATACTTCCAAATATGAGGTGATAAATTCAAGTGTAATATAGTGTGAACATTTATGGAACTATTTTATAGATCAATAAACATTATGGCTACAGAATTTCCATTTAAGGAGAAATACCTTTGTCTGTGGTCTGTTTTTAGGGTTTCTCTCGTGTCGTGTTTGGTAGTAAGTATACCAATTGTGCAAACTCTTCTTCTTCTCCACCAATTCAGCCAGCTTGTTTGCATTGTATACAATCTACAACCAGTTATTCAGAATCTAAACAAATTACAAAGTCCGAATAAAATGAACAAGACGAACTTCTAAATGTAAAGCTTATTTGAGAGAGATTTTTTGAAATTATTTCCCGAAAATCATTTTCAACCACATATTCTATAAGACTTCCTCCTTTTTAACCACACATTCTCCAAAAAAAATCATTTTTCACTTGAAAAAATCTCTCACAAACAAGGTCTTAATCTACTAGGCCAGTTTTAACCAAAAACTAAAAATAAAAATTTGCAGACTTAATTTAATAAGTCTCTTCTCTTCTCTCGAATGGTCCATTTCTCTTATTGTTTGTTCTCTCAAATGGTCCATTTCTCTTATTTTATTTTCTTTCCAATGGGCTACACGTGTAGTTCTTCCCTTTATTGATCCCTTTCCGTAAGGAGTTAAATCTACAACCAAATGCAGGTGGATTTTGAACCTATCATACCCTTGGTAACTTGGTTTCCTACAGGTTCATGGTCACTATTGATCTCCAACTAGCAACGAGTGAAAAGGATGTGTTTATTTCTCGAGATAAAGTCCCAGCATCGGCTCCAAAGGATAAGTCTCATTTTCGCCTATTTCTTTTATAGAAGACTAAGAAATATGTCTTGATTTTTCAGAATATCAGAAATGAAGTTTTATGGATCCAAACCTGATGTGTAAGATAATGATCAGGATGATTTACGCAAAAGAAATGTTCGACATGCTCACTAACTGATTCATCAGGATCTGGAGGAACATTTCTCACTAGAACCTGAAATATTAATTGGAATTGATAAACAGGTAGCTAAAAATGTGGTAGTAGGTAAATAGTTCATAGAGAAGCCTGCAATCAGATGAACAAGTAAAACCAGCATTGAACAGATATGTAACTAATAAAATTTTCCATACTCACAGAGTATTGATCTGGCCTTCGGTTAGCAGAAGCTAGAAAATGCAACCTCTTAGTAGAAATGATCTTGTATTCCTTGTAAAGAACATAGCACGTCCAAAATGTGAATACATAAGCCATTACTATATGAGCCCAAAACCTGAATGAAAATAATAATATATCAGTTATTTAACAATTTAAAACAGCATAATATAAACTAAGAGTACTACTAACAAATCAAAGAACCTTTCCATCTATTCTTTTCTTCTATAAATCATTGGACTTGCATAGCATACGGATTGATTGAAGAAATTGAAATGTTGTCATTTAATAAGAAAAAATTAAAGAATTTTGATTGCATAAATCTGTTTAACCTTTGCACGACACGAGTAAACACCACCCTCTTTTCTATCAAATACTCGACTTGTGCACAATTTTTATAAACAGGCGGTAGCAAGACTTAAATCAATGTCTTTTCCTTGGTTTAATACCATTTGAACCACACACTAAAAGTTTAAGTGATTTAAGAGGGAAATTTTATTTATTTAAATTATCTCAACAATTATAAATCCTCTTAATAAGGACACTGCTACATCCATTACTACAGAGACGGAGATGGGGGGGCGGTCATTGTCCGTTGGTCCACTATTCCTAGTTAATTTGTAATGTATTTTTAAGTTTCGCCTCGCAAAAATTTTGACTCACCCCCACAAAATTTTGAAATTTTTTTTTCCATTAATAAATATTGACCCAATAACTTACACTTTAAAATCCAACCATACAAAAATCTTAGACCTAAGTAAAAGATCCAATAGTTACTTAAATAAATAAATAGTCCAAATCCAATCCAAAAGCAAATGACCCATTTATAAATCAATTACCCAAAAGCATACCCACAGACCACGGCCCACAAAATGTAATCCCGACTACAGACACCCCTCATTCTTCCTTGGATAACTTCGAAGGAAGAATGAAGTGACAAACTTCGAAGTTCTCAAGCAGCTAGAATTGCAGAAATGATTGCCAATGATGAGAATGATGAGTTTGAAACTGGAAGAGGAAAAAATCATATTGGAACTCTAAAATGTGCTGGAAGTACAAGATGGAGCTCACACTTTGGTTCCATTTGCAGTTTGCTTGTTTTGTTCGATGACACTTGTTCTGTTTTAGTTGATATCATCAATGATGGAAGTACTTTAGCTAACGGGAGTGAAGCTGATGGTGTTTATGATGTTATGACATCTTTTGAGTTCGTGTTTATTCTACATTTAATGAGAGATATCTTGGGATTTACAGATGTTCTTTGTCAAACATTACAATTTAAATCTCAGGAAATATTGAATGCAATGGAATTGGAGTCAATGACGAAAACCCGACTTCAAAACTATAGAGAAGATGGATGGGATGGATTGTTGAACAATGTGAAGTCATTTTGTACTTCAAGAAACATAGACATTCCTGATATGACTTCTTTATATAGAACAGTTCGAGAGAGGACTTCTAAGCAAAAAGATCCTATCACTTTGTATAGCGTTAGACACATAGATGGACATATTTTTTTTGTATCGACAAACTGATTGTATTTTTGGTCAATCAATCTAACTTGCCTATTTTGGTACTCAAAATCATCGTTTTCAATCCTCTTAGTTAAAAATAATTTCGGGACGAACCCCCGGGCCCCCCTCCACCCCCGTATATTCGCCTCCGCAAGATTGAAATCCTAGCTACGTCCCTGAATTCATGATGAAAGTAGACCAAAAACTTCTAAGGTATGAGCAGAAACCATTATCCCAATCTAAAAAACTAATAATAAGCATGTTTTGCCATTATTATATGATGAACGTAACTAGAACTTGTTATACAGACTACTTTAAAATAAGAACATAAACCATTATCCCAGTCAAAAATACAAATAAAAAGAGCAAAATGAATCCAGTGCTCACCTTTTTGATCCTGAAGGAACATTGGATATTGAAAGCTTATCGATATCACTGTATGTTAAATCCTTGATGTCAACTAATGTTTTCCCAGTCCAATTGACAGGCACCAATACCGCAAAAGCAAGTAGAGCTATAGGGACAAAGATTTTCAACCTGCAATGGACATTTATGATTAGTGTGATCTATAGGAATTTAGAAAACTCACGAGCATTATTGTTTATTCGTGGTTCCAAGCTTTAAGCATGTTCGGTACAGACTAGACAGAATGAACAAGATTATAACTTCTTCTTTTGTTCCTTAATATTTTGTAGTAATAGCTAGTGCTCCCTGCCAAACACACCATAAAAGTGCTATGCTTGAGGATTTGATGACTCTACAATTTCAGTATGATAC